CTCTTGATACTTACCGCTGTAAAGATTAGGCTAGACGCTCCCTGGAGATGGGAATAGACTGCTCATAGCCAGCATAGCCCATATTGGCTGCATCAATGAACCGTGTGGAGGATAAAATTCCACTGTGAAGGATTGCGCTAAAAGACGAAGATGTGCTTCAATGGTATATTAGGACGCTAGTAAAGTTCGACCGGCTTGGCTCTTAAGCCCTACTGCATGCAAGACTGTTCCTGTCGAAATCAGCCTAACAGACTTTCGTAATACCAGAACTGCCTGGTCCTCCTTCATGGATCATCTTCCCGGAAGGTTTCTGACATGGATGGGTTACTAGACACAGAGCCCCAAGTTGGGCATATAGAGGTCTGGAAGAGGGGAGGAAGGATACAAAGATTGACTCCAACTACAAGGTTGAACATTGTTAGGGGTCATGCAAATGCACCGCGCCGGAGTCATTGGGATCCAAAACATATAGTGTCATCTTTGCTGATGGCACCGGTACGCTGAATATCAGGCAGGTGGCTTGAAACAAGGCATCCTTGGCAGCTGAACGAACTCCAACCTCATCGCAGAACGTGCCGTAGTAGGTGCCTTAGATCTGATGGGCTTTTTCTAGCGTTGAAGGATTTACCCACCATGATTCATGGGAGCGAAGATCAACGGATGGCCCGCCACCCGTGCAATCCAGATGCTTGTTTGAACGAGAGTTGGCACATTCTTTCATACACCCAGTATCTCGATTGGTATCTCCATGGTCATATATATAGGAGGAGGTCATCAGTGTCTCCCTTTGTCTGTCTTGGCCTGTCTGTTCGCTGTTGACAGTTATTATGGTTGCCGTTCATGGAATTCATTGAACGTACAAGGGCAGCGTCCGCAGCCAATCGGAGGAGCTGAGTAGGTTAGTTTTCTCCCTGCTGGCCAAGTGGAGTACCGTTACAATGACATGTCTATGAAAACTTGGCGACTTCGCGGGTCTTGGTCCGTGGTGGAACTGGTTCAGGCAGGGCCCACTGCTGCGTGTAAGCACATGTATCTTCTCTATGTGATTTCCATACCTCTCAGTTGCGTTTCCCGGATGTCGTGCGCTGATTGCAGGGCGTAGATCACTCGTGTAAGCATCGGATTGAGTTTTCATGGTCGTGGATGATCGACTGGTTGTTATTTGGCGCAATGTCCATCCGGCGAGGCCACCAAAATGTTATGTACATACAGCCGCAAAGGTACGAAACAACAAGCGTCCGAGGCTCGGAGGATCCGCGGAGGATCCGCGGGTGGTCCGTGACAAGCAGTAGCGAATTCCACCAAGCACTTGTCAACCAAGAAAAAAACATTAAAAATCGAAATAAAAGCAAATGATGAATGAAATGTCTGGTTAAGGGGGGACATGTACATAATCGCCTCCCTGGACTCCTTTCTTCCCTAATACGAGACGAATCTCTTTTTTTCTCCTCCTTTCCTTGCGACATTAGGTCTGTTGTTGGCGTCCGCAGTGCTTCTCACAACATGGGAACAGCACCATGGACGCGACTGCGCGCGGTCCCGTACCAAATGGGAAGCCGAAGTCCCTACCTGACTCTCGCCGTCGTGTGAGTTCCATCAGCAGTTGAGTCGGTCCCTGACTAACCGCCACAGATGTACGGCGATGTTTCTGGACCTTGCCAATCTCAGTGCCATCACCATCGCCCTTCCGACGATACAGAAGGAGTGGGGCACTACGGAGGGCGATCTGCAATGGATTATTTCTGCCTATTCGATCACGGTATGCCATTCACTCATGAGATCTCATTGGACATGGCCTGCGTGCTAAATCCCTCAGTTCGGAGCGTTTCTGCTGCTGGGAGGCCGAGGGGGTGACTTGTTTGGGTAAGTGTGCTCTCGGAGGTATTCTCAACATCATGCGTGCTAATGGAAACCATCGCACTAGTCACCACCGTGTGCTCCTCTTTGGCATGTCCTTTTTCGCGCTATTCACCATGGTCTGTGGTCTCGCCCCCAACTTCATTGGCCTAGTCGTGGCCAGAGCCCTGCAAGGTAGGCTCTTCCGATCCGTATCTGACCGTTGCGACCCAGCATTGACGTAAGGTCCCAGGAATTGGCGCGGCGTTTACGATTCCCTCAGCACAGGCCCATATCGCGGTGTGTTTCCCCGAGCCCGCAAAGAAGGCCCAGGCCCTGGGCTTCTGGGGGGTATCAGGATCCCTGGGTTTCATGTAAGTTGGCCCCCTCCCATCCCTCGTTGCCTCCCTAACATGCCACAAGTATCGGTCTTATTCTGGGCGGTGTCCTGACGGCCTATGTTGGTTGGCGATGGATCTTTTGGATCTCGCTCATTCTGTCCGGCATCATCATTCCCGCGGCGTTTTTCATCCTGCCACGACCCGATCGTCCACCAGCAGACGAGGCAGCGTCCCCGGGGGGTGACCTGGAGACTGGGCAACCATCAGCTCCTACCAACCGCCTAGCTGCAGTCGTCCAGCGGATTGTCACCCGCTTTGATCCGCTGGGCATTGCGCTGAGTGTGGCGGGAATCCTGCTCCTCACCTACGCGCTCACGTCCGCGAATACAGAAGGATGGGGGAGTGCGCGAATTGTGGCCCCACTGGTCATCTCGGTGGTCCTCCTCGCCTTGTTCGTCTTCCACGAGTGTCGGACCGCCAACGGGATCGTTGCACCGCATCTTTTCCATTCCACCTCCTTTAACCTCACCCTCGTGCTGGCGGTGAATACGTATGCGGTCCGCCAGGCGTGCACCTACTTCCTGACCCTCCAGCTGCAATCCTACGGCAACAGTGCGATCCACACCTCCGTCCTCTTCATCGCTCTGGGAGTGAGCGCCCTCATCTTTAACACGTTGTCCGGTCGACTCGTGCCCATCCTGGGTGCTCGCCTCATGGTATGTTTCCCAAGGCCCATTCCTCCTACTCTCTTCCGCTGCCATCGAGGCGAGAACATACCTTGCTAACCAGGAGGGGGTAGTTTATCCTCGGCTGGGGCTTCTCGATTCCCGGCGTGCTTCTCTTTTCCTTCATTGACCATGATACCTCGTACTGGCGGTATACCTTTCCCGGGATGGTCCTCTATATCGCCGGAATTGGTGCCGTCTACATCACGGCCAATTTCGTCGTCGTTTCCTCCGCTTCTCGAGCGGACCAGGGCGCGGTTGCTGGGGTGTTCAACGTGGCACTGCAGGTAGGCGGTTCAGTTCTCGGTTTGGCGGTCATTACGGCCATTGCACAGGGCATCCAGCGGCGGTACGGGGATCCATCTCTTCCGAAGGACGCGTACGGTCGCATCGGCTACCAGAGTGCGTACTATAGTTGTGTCATTCTCTGTTTCATTGCGCTGTTGCTCAGTGTCTTCGCGATTGAGATCCCGCCCAGCATGAGGGGAACGGTATGGAAGAGATTTCAAAAAGAGCAGACATCTTCTATGGAAGAAAAATGAGATTCCTAGGCGACAGTACCTGGGTGTTTCGAGTACGCTGGCGTAAGACTCGCCACCGGTGGGAGGAGTTAGACAGACAGACGGTGTTGGAAAAGCATAGAGGATTGTGCGACTAGAACTACATATACTGCATTAATATATTGGCATTTAACTCCTCGTTATGACATCGTCGTCCTCACGGAAGTCATAGCTACAGCAACACAATGCCAAGGTGGCTAGCCTCGCACACATTAAACTAATTCATTGGTACACCCTCAGATGCACTCGATCATCTTCATTATATGTTCATCAAGTTCTTCGTCCACGGTCTCTGGATGGGGAGCTGTATTGGCCAGATTTTGCTCCACTTAAAGCGGAAATATATAAATCAACGGTTACGGCCCCTCGCAAGATCTCAGAAAGGGGACCGAAAGACCAGATTCTAGTTGTCTGCGCGTATAACCGTCGGTCAAGGCTGCAAATTAGTAACTATAGTCCGAAGGATCAATAGACACTACCACTGTACCGCCCCCGACGTCACCGCACATCTCATCCATGCCACCAGCCGTCACGAGGATGATAGAAATATATCACCTTACCATTTATGCTTCACGACTCGAACGGGTTGTCCGGACATATAAACGGATGGGGTTCAGATGGTCTGTGCCATGAGTCAGGAGGCCTAGTTCCCCTCTCCAAGCGTTACATTCCAATGATGCTAACGGTCAGGTGAAGAATCGCACTGGACAGCTTTGATGCCAACCCTTGCATCTCGCTGTATGCCGCAGCCAGGGCGGTGTAATGTATGTTGAATAGGTGAATCTGCATGGCCGTTTGGAAGCGGCGTCTCCTTCAAGAGACCTGGCTGCCAGCAATAATTCCGAATTCAAGCTAGCAACCTCCAGTGGTGAAAGCCCTGTTCGATATGCCAGACTCTTGGTGTCTACGGGAAGCGAACTAGAGATATCAAAGACCTTGGACCGGTGGCAAGCTTCCCCGGGTTACCTATCTTCATTCCGAGGTATTCAGCACAATCCTCTTTACACACAACCTCTAGTTCCATAGCAGACCACGATTCCGATTTAGTTGCGTAACACATAGAGAGTCAAATTCCGCGTGATCGACCGAATCTTCTCCACGTCAGTATCTTCCAAGTACAAGGTGCAAAGTGACGTTGTCGCTGCAACTGCGAGTAGGCACCCAACACAGTTAAGCCACGTCAGCTGGGCATGTCGACGTCATAACCTGAAACCACTCGCTCCAGATTCATCGTTCACCGCAACTGGCCATGTCTATCGCTGTTGGACCGGCTTCGATAGGCAAGGAGCGGCCGAACAAAGAACTTAAGATGCCGTAACCCCGGAGACTCCGTAGGTCGAGAGGGTCCGTGTCTTCAACGTCGGATACTCGATTCTCTTGAGGTTATTAGAGTAGGATCTGGAAGATATAACGGAAGCAGTGCTCTAATACCTTATCGTCTCTTTCCTCGGGGTCCTTAGGGCCGTGGCGCTAGAAGTCGACGGCAAACACGGCGGCAGGAGACTTTCTGATCGAATCCTGGTCCCATTCTGGGCACAATGGCCACTCCAGTAGTTTTGATTATCGGGTGTGGAATTGCTGGTCCTGTACTTGGGATTTTTTACAAGCGCAAGGGGTACCACCCGATTGTTTTTGAGAAGGTGCAGACGCTGGGAGATGCCGGAGCGTCACTGTTGCTGATGCCAAACGGGTGAGTATCCGATACACCTCTGCGAAAGCTAAACCGCTAACCTGGTCGGAAGGATGAAGGTTCTGAATTTGGTTGGCCTCGCAGAGGAAGTTGCCGAAGAATCGCTCCCCCTGACCGGCTTTTGGGACGGCGTCTCCTCAGGGGAGACCTTGGGTCATTCAGGGCTTCCCGCGGCCTTCCCAGCCAAGTACAGGCACCCGGCGGCGGGGATCAAACGGGCCTCGATCAGTCAGATGCTGAAAAGGAGATTGATAGACATGGACATCGAACTCCGCGAGGGGTGGAAATTGGAGTCGATCCAGGAGAATGAGGATTCTGTCACGGCTATCTTCGACGGTGGGCGCACGGTAACCGGTTCGTTCCTCATCGGCTGTGATGGCATCAAGGCCGCCTCGCGGTGTGCAATACTGGGGATGCAAGGCATCGGCACGGGGATGCCGACCTTCACGGGCCTGGCGCAGGTGGCGGGCATTTCGCCCACACCGGAGTCGCTGGACGCCTTCCGACGTGGCAGCCTCTGTAACTGGTACGGAGACGGCAAACACGTTATCGCGTATCCCATATCGACCAGTCTTACCTCCTGGGCCGTCACCGTTCCCCAAACGCGAGCACACGAAGAGACGTGGCGTCTGTCTGGCCCGGCGGAGATCGAAACGCAGCGCGAGATGTTGGCGTCCGAGTTGGCTGGTTTTGAGCCTATCGTGTTGGACCTAATCAAAACAGCCTCGCGGATCATCAAGTTTGGCCTTTTTGATCGTGAGGAATTAAGCCCCGAGCAGTGGCATTCCAAGCGCTGTGTGCTGGTCGGCGATGCAGCTCATCCGACGACGCCTCACCTGGGACAAGGCGCGAACCAGGCTTTGTAAGAATACATATTTCCGGGATACTTGGTGGAGACAACGAACTGACCATGCTTCAGGGAGGACTGCTACCACCTTATGCAATACATGCCATGCGTAGAGCCAGGAAGTGTGGACGACGCGGGGAAGTTGAAATGCCTTGACTCAGATCTCGCGAGCCTCTTCCAGGCTTACGCCGAAAGACGCCAACCTCGTACGTCGGCGTTGGTGAAGGAAGCACGCGCCCAAGGCGACAGGCGTGTAGTAGCCACTCCTGCACTGTGTAAAGAACGGGATGCAGTCGTGGCTGCAGCATGGAGCAATCCCGACTCGGTCAGCGCCAAGTACGAAATATTGCTGAAAGAGCCGTTCTAAGTTAATCTTATGGCTTGGATGTAGTTCAGCATTCTAGTTGATCGCTCCGGATAATACACATAGAACAGGTCCTTGGGCGGCTGCTAACTTTGTCCGCTCTGTCGAGTATTCAGTCACGGGAACATCTCTGAATGGTTTCGAATCATAATCTTTCATTTGCAGCACACAAGTCTCAGCTGTGGCCGTGAGCTTTAACGTTGGGCCATCATGCGGTTTAAATTGTCATGCTTCCACGGTCGGTTAGGGACAAACGGGGGGGTGTTGTTTTTGTGATACTGCGGAGGATGTACGCTTGTCGATGAATGAGGAAATTGATATGCTTGTGGTTGATGCGACGGAGAATGTATATTCTTCAAGTAGGCAAATTCACCGGCTCATTCACCGGATCATAGGCGTTAGAACTGAGATTTGGTCCTGTAGTAGAGGGCACTCTAGGATGAGTATCATCCAATGCTAGACATTATTGTCTAAGTTCGAAACGACAAAGGAAGATGGGTGATCTATTACTATGATCATCTTTTCCGGATCTATAAACATAACAGGGATAATAAGGTACTCTAGTATAAACTACATCAGACACTCGTACGCTCCAATGTCACAGTATACAGGATGAGATGTTCAAAGTGGCTTGGTCCATCTGTGTCTGCTCATCTACGGGGGGCGAAGTCGCGCGCATGCACACTTCCAGATCCTGAACGGGACAGGAGCACCTTCAAAAGATCCCGGATATCAGTCAGGAGATCCGCTGCAGACGTAGGGCTGGCAAAGGCAGTCGCGGAGGAAGTGGGTGTAGCCGCCTCAGTGCTCTTGGTGGGAGCTGCAGTCGAGGGGGAAGGGGTCACGCTCGAGGACACGGCGGTCGAAACGGGACTTTGTGTGGCAACCGTAGTCGGGCTCGCGCTGGTCGGAGTAGCTGATATGCTTTCAGTAGGAGCAGCGGACTGCGCGGTCGAAGCGGCAGAAGCAGTCGCAGCGGTAGCGGTACTGGACGAGCTAGCGAAGCTTGAAGAGCCAGACGAACTTGAAGACCCAATCTCAGTAGTAATAGGACCTTCCTCCACGTAGACACCGGACCAGAACCAGTCTTCCGCCGCGTCGTCGGACTCACTGCCCGGCAGACGCAGCTGTCCGACGTGCCAGTCAGCGGAGTTGGAGGAGGTAGAAGCACTAACGGGCGTGACAACCTGAGTCAAGGGCTCGGAACCGTTGGATGCCCACAGGCCAACCTTCTTGGAGTCGAAGTCAATGTCGTAGGCGAAGTTGTACCATTTCCCTGCCTCGAGCTGCACCGACCACTGTGATTTTCCGTCCGCGTTCCAGCTCAGGGTGTTGTCGGAAGAGCCCGATGCGCCATACTTCAACTCGGTGAAGTGACTTTCGAAGAACGCAATCTGGTGCTCAAACGATGGGTTGGGGGGATTCGTCTCCTGGGTGGAAAGAGAAAAGTGATAATACAGGTGGCCCGAGCCAAGATCAGCCTTGGTCTGAGGGATGAGCTCGGAGCGCTCCATGGTCTGCCCATTCCAGAAAGAGGTTCCGTCCTAAGGGTCATGGTTAGGTGCAGTGCAAACATGTATAACCGTTCGCATGAACGCACAATAGTGATGCGCAGTCCCTGTGCGTCGGCAGCCGCCGGGTTCTTAAATTCGGAGGAAACGCCCAGATACTGGGACGTTTTGCCAGAGCCATGAATGTACCATTGCCATGCGCCGACCTGATTCGACCAGGACCCTAGAGCTGTTAGTCACGGTTTTGTTGACAGATGGAGGTTCATGTACATTTGTCAATATCGTCGACGGTCAGCGACGAATCGGGAATCCCGCTCCACAGCACGGGTCCAGCCAGTGTGGAAGCAGGAAGTGCGAGAAGAGTAATGAGTGACTGCATAATGAGGAGTAAGAATATAAAAACGAATGTAAATGACTTGTTAATGCGACCGGCACAGTTGGCCAGCAGGTGGGATTGCGGGCTTTGGCATCTTTAAAAGCACCATCGGGAGTGGGTCCTGTCAATATTAGGATGAAACATGGGAGATTGAAGCTTGTTCCACATTGATTATCGCTTCGGCTCTTCCTGAAAAGCTTGACCATATGCTGTGTAGTCGAACGCCGGAAATGAAGCACTAGATCTTCCGGCTTGCTTGGGATCTCTAGTTGAAACAACAGCATCGGGTGGTTCTCCTACTTGATCCATCCGAACTAGTCCACTAGTTTCACTGGTGGAATAACAGTCTTTCTGGTTTGGCTATTGCATCTGAACTTCGGCTGGTTTATCTGCAACCTGCCTTCTGCAGAGTCTCGAATCCTATGAAGCGACGGATTTTATCCACAAGTGAGGAGCCCTAAAGTGATTTCAAGAATGATTCGGTGGACGGTATAGCGCATAATTACAACTTGATACGAATTTGCTGCTTCTTTCTCACTTTTTAGTTTTCATTTATCTTTCTTTTGGCTCATCTACTTATTTTGAGATTGGATTTGGACTGTTTGTCGCCACAATTCCCGTCGTCATCTTGTACAAAGATGACGCGAGGGTGCGCGAAGATATCTTAAAAGCATTAGGACAAGATGGACCTTGGCACTCACGGCGGACTCGAAAAAAGCATTATGGGTCTCGGTTTTCTCACCCACAGAGCTCCGCTCCATGCTTTGAGTCTGGAAACCCGGTTCTCTTCGCATTGGCCCACATGAGAGTATAGATTGGTGACTTTTCCATTGGTACTGTCACCAAGGCATCGTAAGCGCGGCTGGACGGGAGGTTTTCCACACTCGTCGCGATACGACAAAGACGCGCCGCTAATGCATGGCAACTGCGCCGCAACAAGGATCTGCAGCCATTGAATGGGATGGACCAAAGCCAGCGTTTGCGACAGAAGGATATTAGTCTCCGACTTGAACATGCTTCCCCTCTTCCTGCTCTTCTTCCTCTCTTCCGTGTTTCTCGATCCATCGCTGATACAGACCGATTTACCCTCACCCCAATGTCGCCGTCGCCAGAAGACCAAGCAATGCAACAACTGCACTCGCAGCAATCCAGATTACTGGACAAAATCGACGAACTTCGCGCGGTGGGCGTCGGTGGTCTGGTCGAACTACCGCAATTGATTGTCTGTGGCAACAAATCGAGTGGGAAGAGTTCGGTGCTCGAGGCAATCTCGCGAGTCCGCTTCCCAGCCAAGAGTAGTTGCTGTACGCGATTCGCGACGGAAGTGATTCTTCGTCGCAGCACGCAGCCAAAATTCAAGGTCTCCATCGAACCGGGTGCGTCGAGAACGAACGAGGCCGAACGCCAGAAACTGCGCAACTTCGCGACGCAAGGGTTTTCCAGCTACAGGGATCTGCCGAGGATCATTGAACAAGCAACAGAATGCATGGGCATCAGCGATGAGGACACAGCCAACTCAGGGTTTAGCGACGACGTCCTGAAGGTCGCAATCTCAGGTCCCGATCAGCCGGAGTTGACTCTGGTGGACCTGCCCGGGCTATACACCTCAACGAGTCATGCTCAGGGGGCAAAGGGAATCGAGATCGTCCGAGGCTTGACGGAGAAATACATGAAGAGCACGCGCACCATCATTCTCGCGGTGATCAGTGCGAAAACGGATTATCATCTACAGGGAGTACTGAACATGGCAGAGCGATTTGACAGCAAACGCCAACGGACGATTGGTATTATCACGCAGCCGGACATTCTCGAAGCCGGCTCGGAGGAGGAAAGCAATTACCTGCAGTTCATGCGAAACGAGAAGATAAACTTGCGACTCGGATGGCATGCGCTGCGGAATCGGTCCTTTGAAACACGCGAAATGTCCGACGATTCGCGAGATGAGATGGAAAGAACATTCTTCGAGCAGGGCCGGTGGGCGTCACTGTCGCGCGACTGCGTGGGAGTCGACAGCCTCCGACGCCGGCTCAGCAGCGTGTTACTACAGCACATTCGTCGCAATCTTCCAGGTCTGATCACGGAGATCCAGGATAAGATTGCCGACCACCAGCAGAGGTTGGCAAGGCTGGGACCTGCACGGTCGACCCTCCAGCAGCAACGAGGCTTTCTCCTCGCCATCAGCAGCGGGTTTGAACGCATCACTCGTCAAGCCCTGAGTGGAATGTATGCGGATGAGTTCTTTACTGAATTAGGGGATGATACGCAGGATTCTCAGGATTTTCGTCGGCTACGGGCCGTAATCCGTGAGCTGAATGAATGCTTTGCCCACGCCATGAATATTCGGGGCTCTCGTCGGATTCTCGTGGATATGTTGAAGCAAAACTATGATTTACAACTGGAGAAGGACAAAATGTACATGGAAGATTGGTCCCCAGAATACGTCACTCGTGAAGCACTGGAGGAAGAGATCGGCGGACAGGCGCGTAAGAACCGCGGAATGGAGCTGCCAGGCAGTGCAAACCAGTTACTTGTAGGCAGCTTGTTCCGAGATCAGTCGAAGCCCTGGGAAGGCATCGCTCGGGTACACCTATTGCATACCTGGGAATCAGTAAAGTACTTCGTCCTGCTGCTCCTCCGACATCTCGCGGATGAACCTACATACACACGATTGGTGGAGACGGTTTTTGCGCCCCAGCTGGAGCGTCTGAAGGATACGCTGTTGAACAAACTTGAGGAGCTTACAGCCTATATGAAGCGCGGACAGCCCTTCCCCATTGGAGACAGCTTTCTGTCTAAAATTCGAGTCGCTCGCACCACCCGTCACCTTGCGGCGCTGAGGAAGGCCTTAGGCCTTCCCCGTTCAATCTTTGTACGAAACGGTGATCCAGAGTCATTTAATGCTCACGATGTAGCGTTGGCTGCCTCCAAGCTTCAATCGTCCAGTGATGAGTTCGCCGTAGCAGAGATCATCGACCAGATGGAGGCATACTACGATGTAAGTTCAACACATAAACATCCACAGAGCTAGTCTGATCAGCCCCGTTCGATAGACGACCATTGTGACATTCGTAGACAACATCGCAATCCTTGGCATTGAGAATTGTCTTCTCTGGCCATTGGAACAAATCTTCACCAGTCAGACGGTCAATAGCATGGAAGACCAGCAGATTCGGGAGCTGGCCGAGGAGCCGCCACATATTCAGCATGACCGACAGCGACTGAGTCAAGAGTTGAACCGGTTACAGGCCGGTTTGAATACTTTCAACATCTTTCACGCTGGGAGCAGCTCATTACGACCGCCGTCGATCTTTGTGAAGCCGGCCGTAGCCCAGCCGGCTCTTTTCCAAAGCCCGGACACGATTGCTCTACGGGAAAAGTGCAAGCCAAATTCCAAAAGTAGGTCTCCTGGAATCATGGGAAATGGTATTTCGTGCTAAGCTACCAAGCAGCGCCCTCCGCTCCCACGAAGAGGAGTCCCTCCCCACCGGTAGTGGCAGATAATAATAGAAACAGGAACACTACAGCTTGTTCAACACGCAATCAGGGCTCACTATTTGGGACACCCTCCGTTTCTACAGAGAACACTGCTTCTCCGCCTGTAGTGTCAGACAATTCCAGCAGCAAGAACACTACAGCTTCTTCGACGCGTAATGCGTTCCCACTATTCGCACCACCACCTGGTCCTACGTTTACCGGAAACTCTGGGACTGGAAATGACTCCAATTCCACGAATGCCAAGATGAAAAAGTCTGCATTTGGGCCACCGGTTGTTCTTGGGTGTGATAGTGCCAGAACTTCAGGACCATGGTTCGGTTCATCGTTTACCAAAGCAGATGCTGCTAAGCCCTCGGCAGGAACAGGACCGGGTTTCTTTGGGAGACCCAGCTCCAGCCAACCTACTGGTAGTTTCAGTTTTGGTGCGTCCAGCGACACCCCTACCAAAAATGATACTAGAAAAGCTCCAGCCACGGAGGGACCTCGCCGGTAGGATCGATTCGGTCTCTATGCAGATGGATGCAGTATGCATCTAATCCTTGTGATCATTGGCAAGCACCATCTTCTTTGGACGGGATGGGAATGGGAATCTACTTAACAATTATGGTCATCTATGTGCCTACCAGGGCGTTGATAGCTATTCTCCCGAGGGTAGTCAGTATATCCTATCACGGACTCTAGCATCGCGTGATATGCACGAGCTTAAGGCGGAGGTTTGCCCCTGACAAGGATTCCTGGCCATAAATATATATACTTCAATCCGCATAGGGAAGAGGAATGTGCCGTGGGTGTATTCAGGAGAAGATTCTTTGTCAACACATGAGGATATATATTGAGGTGACCGCCCTGACAAATATAGAATTTATAACTAAGTTGGAACCCGGTCGCCCAAGGTGTAATTTCTATAAACTGGGAGTTGATCGGGTACAATCAAGACGACTTACACCTACATTGCAACCAACAGCTGAACGAATTGAATTGAAAAAAACATACAACAGGAGGGATTCGCTGGTGGTCACCCACCCAACTACTAACCTCCCGGCGTGTGGCTTAAACGCGGCCAGAAGTCGGGTGCCTGCCGCCCGGGTGAGCTAGCGGGTGAGCCGCTTTACCGTCGCGCGACCTCGGGTGAGCTTGGGTGAGTGCACAATAGATGGGGTGAGCGGCTGGCCGACGCTCACCCGAGAACGCGCGATCTCGCGAAAACTTACCCAAAAGCGAACCTTATTACCCACTTTGCTTCCCTTCTACCTTATCTATTGGATAACACCTTTGCGCTTTAAAAAGCAGGCGTTCCTGGCCGCCTTGCATAGCCACAATGGCATTTACGCCCAAATTTTGGACTTCATCAGAGTAAACAGGCGGCAAACAGACGGCCACTAGGTCTTCTACTTCCCTTTTACAGTACTAGGAATAAGGCGACCTATTCCTGCTACTTCTTCAGAATACATGCCCCAGAGTCGAAACTTAATCTTGTCAGAATCCTATGCGGATCTTATGTTTTCTCTTTTGAGACCAGTATAGCCAATTCCTTGCTGCAGTTCTCTCTTATATTATGAATGATTTTGCGGGAGTGTACCTGGTGGGTTTGCGATTAAACACTTAAGAGAATTTGTAAATATTACTAGTAACTTATATTATAGCAAATCGATTAAGATTATCTCTAATCGATTCTCTATGTAATAAATAGATAACTTTAGGTATCTAATGATTTGATACAGCATTGGAAGTATAATGGTAAAACGTATTTCCTTCTATAAATCTATATTTTGGTGTCATATACCGATTATCGAAGTACTTTTGCAGTTATATAAAGAAAGACTTTTTACTACTACATCACCGATTCTTTATTAAATTAGTAGCAACTTAGGACAGTACATAGAATCAAATAGTATATTAGTTAAAACTACATGACGGCAAATGGAGTGCCTAAAAGGGCCGGAGTGACTGGACCTGTCTGTTAACAGCGCGAAACAATTCTTTCTACCAAAACATCAAGATTAGTGTAATCAAAGCAAAGGCGTAAATAACAAATACAAGAAAGATAGCCTACTTCCCCAGTGCACCAGTTCCTAGAATCATGCAGCTACAGCTTGTTCTGACTATCAGTCAATAGCTCCACCCCTCCACCCGCAATGCACACTTTGCCCGTTTCAACAACTCTTGTCTGAAAAGTGACTGTTTTACCCTCCTTCCACAGTTCGGTCCGGAAGGTCTGTCCAGGGAAGACACTCTCAATGAAGCGGCCCTTGATACTCTTGTATCGGCCATATTGTTGGAGGATATGTTTCCCCGAAATACCAAAGAAGCAGAGACCGTGAAGAATCGGGGCAGGAAACCCAACAGCCCTACCAACAGCGGGGTCTATATGCCCCAGATTTTAATCACCACTCAGCCGGTAGAGTGCCGCCTGTTCCTCGGAAGTTTTCTCTTCACATATGAAATCCGGCGCCCGTTGTGGGGGATTGTATGTCTTTGAGTTGCTGAGACGGGGCTGGGTTTGGCCGCCAAAGCCACCAGCATTTTTCACGAAAAGAGAGACCTCGTTGTAAAATGCATCTTCCCCGGTAGCCTCATCGCGTGTGATGTGAGCCATGGTCACAATGGCCGCTTTTTTCTTGTCGACCACCTCAAGGAGTCGGCTATGCGTAACGAGCTTGCCTGCAGTGGGAATAGGATATTTGCGAATCTCGAGGTATTGCTCCCCATGAACGTAGCCCAGTGGGTTCCACTTGGGCAAGATATCTTTGAACTCGACGGGCAAGCGCGAGAAGAAGGTTGGAATCGTCCCAAAAGTTGGTACCGGCTGAAAGTTCAGATCCGTCTCGAGAACAAGAGGCAAATCATTCCGTTTGGCCGTAACACCGAGGTCTTGAGAATACGCGTCAGATGTCTCCCAGAGCTAGTCGGGTGAGGTATGTGTGAACTCACTGTAAAGAATAACGTCCTTGTGGTTGTATTCATAAATACCGCCCCGGCCACGAGCAGCCTGCCCGGCCTCTATCTTTTCCACGGCGCGCGCTGTCTTCAGGATTTCCTTGAGATGTCGATGCCCTGCAGGTCCGTCCTCAGGGTACGAACTGCCACGCTTGTCGAAATTTGCAATCCTGTCCAATCCTGCTGGCACTGATTGGTCTGGCCGATAGGATACTGGGGATCCGGCACTCCTTTGAAGCCTTGTGCGTCCTTGCCAGCCACCGTTGACTTCATACACTGCGCCCGTTGATGGGAATGGGACGCGGTCGGAGCACAACAAGGCAACCATAGGCGCGCAGTAAGCAGGTTTAAGGTCCTTCGGAAAGCCTGGCATGATGGAAAGAAGATTTGGAGTGCTTGTGGTGGGAGCAATCACGTTCACGATGATGTTGTCCTTCGCACCCTCACCGGCAAGAAATTCTGACAATCCTACGAGTCCGCATTTCTGGCGAAATCAAATCATTAGGCGTTAGCATATCAGGGGCCAACAGGATTTGCAATGTATTTCGGTCGTGAGAACCTACCGCCGCTGTGTAATTTGCCTGTCCGAAATTGCCATATATCCCACTCGTGCTAGTAATGTTGACGATTCGTCCATACCTTTGCTTCACCATGTATGGCCAAGCTGCCTTGATGACTTCGTAAGTGCTATCAAGGTTGACACTGAACACAAAGTCCAACTCTTTCTCGGTCATCTTGCCGATGGACTTGTCCCTGACCGTTCCAGCATTGTTGATAATAATATCAACACGCCCATAAGCTTCGACAGTCTGCCTGACAATTTCTTTGCCATTCTGTGCGGGCGCAGTGACCCTAATGGCATGTTGACCAATCTCATGGATATCAGAAACGACAGGGGCAGGATCCTGGATATCGTTGACTACTACCTTCGCTCCCAATTTAGCGAGCAGCAATGCATACTCACGTCCAAGACTAAGGAGAGATACCTTTAGTAAGAGTTTTAGTCAAATGACTTCGAATCACTCACCCATTTGCAGCACCGGTAACAATGGCGACTTTTCCATGCAAGGATACTCTCTTCCCTTCCTTGTTATAGTCTTCTGGGAGGTCGGCCGCTCTTCTTAAGATGGATAAAACATCTGATGTACCTCTTGGGTATTCTGAGTCTGCGAAATTGTTTACTTCGTCCCATTTCTCAAGAATCGCCCCGGGTGTGAATCTCTGATCAAGTCTAAGCCCAGCACCCCCGGCCCGCTCCCATCGCAATGCGTGGCAAAGTTTGCCTCGCAGATAGTACATAGACCCAGTGGCTCTTGTGTTTAGCTTATGGGACAGTGATGCCACCAAGCCTAGAGCGGCATCACGATCGGGTTTCTGATATCCACTTGGGCCATCGAAAGGGGTCCCAGTCACAATGACTGCAGCCAGAATGTTTGCGCTCACACCTTCTTTGGCAACAGTCTCCACAAAACCAAGATGTGCGTAGCTAGAGACTGTCGTAATACAGATGTTAGCGTCGAACCTCCCGACCGAGAGGTACTCGCGATGCGTTTTTGACAGGAATTATGTGTTCACTTACTGGCATATGACAAATGTTCTTCGTGGTTAGGCAGCTCGTAGAGACCAGTGGTACTGATGAAGCGGCCAAACTTATGCTTTCTGAATATCGGCCAGGCGGCATGGACGGTCTAGGATATAATGATGACAACCGTCAGCAATCCCTGTGCTTGTCGGGCAAATTGAGGTATTTTACCTTGTACAATCCCTTGAATGCTACTCCAAAGTCAGAACTCCCGTCCTGAGGGTGAAAGCCCTTAAATCTCCGGTCATGTTCCGGGAGCGAATTGTAGATAATGATGTCCACTCGTCCAAACTCAGCGAGAGCGGCGGCGACAGTTTGGTCCCCGTTCTGGAGCGATGAGGAATTCGCAATTGCAATACCTCCAGTCGCCTTTATATCCCTCGCGATAGTAGTTGCCAGTATCTGGTATCATGTTAGACCCATAACAGGACACTCGTTAGTGAGGAATGATATGTAGCTCCGTACCTCGTCAGTGTCGTGGACAACCACGTTAGCCCCTGCCGATGCAAAAAAAGTGGCATAGTTCCTCCCCAGACCATGCCCACAACTGGTAATGATGACAGTCTGGTTGCTGAAATGCTGGAGCGCCATGGTGGATGTGTTTGTGCGTGGAAGAGCGACGAATGCGGCGTATAGACCGTGTCTTTAGTCTACTCACGTTTACTGTATTTCACGGTTCGCATAGTAAGATATAAGAAAATCAGTGAACCCTGTTGTGGCTCCCTTGCTGTCAAGATCTGTTCCCCTCGATTCACGGCTCTCATCCATACTTCGAAGATCAATGTTCCGCCGGCCCGTCGGAAGCTGGCTCAGGGAGCAGCAGGCGACCAGCCGGATGCCTTGCCGAGGAAGCAACTTATACTAACAATACACCCAGATCTGGTCCATTCCCCAGATTTTGGGGTAAAATAATGGACAAGTCACTTACCAATATAAGAACATTCCGAAGCTCCGAGGCATCGGCTTCCAGAAAACACTCGAATGTGCAGATGGCTCATGCCGAGCACTCGCTCAGAAGTATGACAACCAATACGTAGAATATTTACAATCATATCTATTCAGATTGAAATCGTGAATTTTCGCATGTATGCTACTTCTGTCCTTATTTGACAGCAAATAATCAAGCCTTCTTCGCACATCATGATAGAATGTCCTCTTTTAGGGCAACTCCGCACGGACATGTGGCGGGATCTCTGGCGGAGAAAGGTCCCGGGGACCCTATCATTCAACCAGCTCCTTCAGGAGTCGAAGGCAGCTCTGCCAGAAGCAGAGTTTATGCTCAAAACAGGCTTATTATCACAGTTCCAGATGGTGGATCCAGTGGCAACTGGCTCGACACAAGAACAAGACAATAACAAGTAGAATACTGAACTTGGTGAAGATAAAACACGAGCGAAATAGTGGACTAGTTCATTACGACTAAATCACTGAGTTATATAAAGATGAGGCGTAAACCATCAACGGCGGTGGAACATGGCTATAAGGCTGTACGGCATAGCCGGTGATACGGAAGCTGGTAGGGGTGCAGAGAGACTGAGGGTGGGCTTTAGAGGTTAAGCTGTAGATGTAGAGCTATCTTGTGTTCTTTTGTTTTATCTGCTATATACTGTTATCTTACTACTCCCGCAGCCACTGCAGGCAGTGTTCTACGGAGCCGCTGGACGGCTCAACCTTGCATGGCGGCCATGTAATATAGGCATGCTAGGACAGGATAATGACGACTACTACTACTACTACTACTAAATAATCACTGAAAAGATTCCTTTATTCAGAGGTAGGTTTTCGTGCCTGGTATATGTTTAAAATGTGAAATCCTTGTGTCTGATTATTAAATGCCTCAGACTTTGCATTGAAGAGGAGTTGATGAATCCTATCGGGCGACCAGCCTAGGATGCGGCTGAAAGGTGCAAGACTTAGGGACTCCATGCTCTGTAAAAACGCCAAACCGTACCAACGGCCAACCAGCCGCTCTTGGTCACCCTGATGCCACGGGCTGAGAGGCAGTCTAATTTGATGATGGCGGATTTCTGTAAATCCAACTTCCTGCAACTTATTCAATGTTTCTTCACTGCGATGAGCAAGTGGTCGCATACTCTGCTCCGTAGCTAGCTTAAGATTTTGATACCAGTACTGTAGGTGAGACTCCTTGAGCGCCCAATTGGCACACCGGGGCTCAAAATCGATCTCTACTTGTTCGAACCAAGCGCCACGACGAAGATGAGCAAGCACTCTGCGGTAGAGACTGTGCCAGCTGGCCACGCTGCCGCAGCCCATCCGGAGATGTATAACATCCCAGTAGTCTTCTCCCAAGTGCCATGGACTCTCGAAGTCGAAGGGAGCATAAAATTGACAATTCAGTGGATGGTTAGACGGTTGGATGGGAGAAAGATCTACGCCCACAACGGATGCACCTGGGTTCCTCTCTGCCAGGTCGATGGCCCAGAGCCCCGTTCCACATCCGAGATCTAGGATCTTGGCACTGGTAGGGTGGGGGACGTGGATCAGACGGTTTGACCTTATTGCTAGAGAAAAAGCCTTGTGGAGGAAATCAAGGCGGTCCTGCTCTTGTTCATCGCAAGGGACCATATAAACCCCTTTTCGATATCCATGATACATCCTTTGATTTTCGAAGTAGAAATCGTGATTTGGTTTGCTTTCGGTGGCTATTTGCGGATTGACAGATGCCCTTTCATGACCTTCTATTTGTGAGGATAGAACCGGCCCGCCAGGGCTGATTGATTCCCCCTTTCGCATTATATCTTTTGGCATTAAAATATCGACACGGTCCACATATTTATTCAATAACTCTGAAGCCATCTGGTCTACAGAGTGGTTGTCTGGTCTCGAGTCTTTTGTGGGCTGAGCAGTTATTATGACCTCGAGACTCATCATATTTCGGGGATGCCCCACATGCCCCACATGATCTCTTTTATCCATGGCCGACAAGTAATGAAGAACTGAGCTAGACGACGTGGCGACAGCACTTTTCGCTTTTAATACCATCGGGAGACACGTTCTCTTGAAAGTTCGAAAACAAGCGTCGAGTCGGGGGCGAATCGATAAAAGAAATGAGAGGAATAAGGTTGAAAATCTGAATCCTCCCAAGGTTAAATGAATTTCCTTTAAACTAGGGGTTTTGTCGGACCGCTGAATACGCTTATGAGCTAGTATCACCAATATCATGAATAATAATGCATCTGCATTGAGAGTAAGGTCTCTAGCTTCCTGAATCTATCTAGGAGAACTGAATAAAAGGTAAACAGAATGGACTAAAGTAGGACCGAGCGGCTGCTGAATAATGTATAATCTGACCCACTCTGGTCGACACCTCAGTATCTGCGGTCAGATGTTGAATATCTAAATAAATCAGTGAATGTTGCCTGTTAGGCAAAGATGAGGTCTCGAATGTTAACTAAACCAAGCATCTTGATGAAATCTTGGTGGTTTTGGTCAGGGAGAAGCTTAGTCATTCTGTCTGCAAGCATTTCGGCTGTAGGAACCCATTTGATACGGCTCCATTTTGAACTTCCTGGCGAAGCCAATGTCCATGAATATCACCCACTTGTCGGGATCGACTTGCACCCGTGAAGCATATGGCTGATCTCTTGCACTATCCGGGTCTCATTTGCTTTGTGGGAGTCCAATTCTTCTAGAATTGCTGGTGGCCATCTAGAGGGGTCCTGAAGCAAGGCATCCGATTTGTGTTTGGGTAATCCGGGTTGCCGATTTGATCACGAGCAGTCTATCTTGCTCAATGGTTGGATTCCTATCGCCAACCATTCCTGCCTTGCAGACACTAGATGGAATATTTTGAGACTGTCATAGCTATGACTGATTGCTTTCTGTTTCTATATCAATTACATAAGTTTTGTATGGAGAGCTTAAATTTATGTTCAGCAACTGGTGCTCCCTTGAGGCATCCAGGCGGGCTCTCCACCGCCTGGTCTCTATTCTTGCGCCTTCTGCGACTCCTGCGTTTCTCTGCACCCCCAACCCCCGGACAGTGAGCATTCTTACTGGATGATCCGTCCAGACCAGCTCCACCCACAATGCGTCCAACACGGCTAAGCATATGCATTTGATCGGTCGACAAAGAGTCAAGTCGATTGTCGAGCATCCCATCGTCGACGGGCTTGAGGGCTAACTCTGGAACCCATTAATAATAACCTGTCGTGCTTATCATTGGATAAGTAGTTGTTCGCATACACAAGCTGGTGGTCTTGGCTGCTCTGCATAGCCACAAAAGAATACTGCCGGCAGGATCGGCCGCAACGAGGATTGCATTGGTTGGTTGGTCAGGACGTCTTTTGGTTCCCTTTTCCCTTGCCGTTTTGTGGTTTCATTTTTTGGACAAAATAGAGGTACGATATTGTGACAGTATAATTTAGATGTTTTGTTGACATACCTAAAACTTCTAGCGTTCCCAGAGAATTATATTGCGCAAAATAATTAGTTCCCTTTTTGTTGAGCTGCCTGAAGATATTAGTTGAGTTTAGTAAGCGACGATAAGCACGTGATGCACGTGATGTTGCTAAGGTGCTCCCTCCGAAGACTCCTTCAAGACGGATTAACTATAATCCATATTCACGTGGCCCTTAGTTAGACGTTGAATAGGATCGTCAACCTGGATTAGTCAACCTATCAACCACTCACATCAACAATTAATAGAACTGTGTCCGTTCTTCAAACCAAAAAGAAAGTTCAATGTCGGATCCAGCACCTACTATATCTGTACTACCGGATCTTTTGAATTTCTACTCCATGTCGTCAATCAGGTGCCAAAAGTTCTTACGACTATTATAAGATGTCTCAATACGCAAGACCTGACACCAGCAAAGCGAGACCCATCGGAGGGAAGCTGAATACATTTCGGGAAAGCTTTAAAGCCACATGCGAGGAGCTGGGACTGACTGCGAGTTTGGATGCTATAAGTCAATTTGATAATGAAGGTGAAAATCTACTACTTAGCTTTATTGTACCGCGTTCTGATCGCTTTCAGATCTTCAGAATTTAGTGCTCGACTTAGTGTCAGCATTGCGAGCCATCCCAGATATGCGAAAACTCCCGTCCGCCAATGGTCGTAAATACCTCCTGAGCGACCTTCTTAGACTGAACGCCGTGATTAGTTCTGATGATTTCGTGGTCGAACGTTTCATTCCTTTATTGAGAGCAGTTTTAAACCAAGAATCGGAGGATCACATCTGGGATAGCATATACTCTACTGTCCGTGAATCTACGCCCCCCCCAAAACTGGTGCCTTTCCTCAATCAGACACCATTTTTGCACACCACGAGCAGCATCGTTAACTCGTCCGAACACCGAAAACATGTGGACACTGTGTTGAAGGCGGAACTGGGGTCTATCTTTCTCGATGTGCCGAATTTTTTTGAGACCTTTTTCAACTCCGTAAACGGGCATGAGACAGCATGTACTACTCTTTTGCAGCGATGCAAGACAGGGGATAATCCATTGTATTGTGATGGGATTGGCTGGTGCGATTGGCCCGCTGACGCTCAAGAGAAGGAAGTTCTGAAGTGGATAAGTGGAAAGTTCGATCTGGTTAGAAGCTTCGTCGCGGAACAAAATCCCAGTGCTTCTCTGTGCAGAACTGTCTTAGCCCAGCCAGCACAGCCACTACAAGGCTCTACAGCCGCCCGGAAACTGGATATCGCGATAGTCAGCAACTCGGAAACTATTCCCGGGCAAATACCTCATTGGTCACGTATTCTGGTTCCTGGAGAATTGAAAAGTAATCCAGAAGCTGATACAGTCTCGAAAACATGGCGCGACTTGGGTAGATATGTGCGGGAAGTATTCACTACACAAGACACGCGTCGGTTTGTGCTGGGTTTCACTCTCTGTGGATCCATTATGCGATTGTGGGAGTTTGATAGGGTGGGGGCCACTGCATCCGAGCCATTTGATATCAACAAGAATGGGCTGAAGTTTATATCGGTAGTTACCGGCTACCTATTATTGGATAACGAGCAGCTAGGATATGACCCCACTATTATGTGCTCTTCAGATGGGACGCGCACTATCGAGGTTATACGTCATGGGCAGCCAGAACGCCTTATCCTTGATGAGCTTATGAAAAGGAGTTCCTGTGTTGCTGGCAGAGCTACAACTTGTTGGAAAGCCCACCGTGCAGGGGGTGAAGCGAATATCCCCCTTGTGGTTAAAGACTCTTGGCAGTATCCTGTGCGGGATGAAGAAGGCGTGCTACTTCAGAAAGCTTTGGAAGGGGGAGTTACTAATGTCGCGAGGTACTACTCTCATCAGACTGTCGAAGTGGGAGGGAAAATCGACGATGTACTCAGAAATATCCGTGGAGAACTTGATTTGATAAGTGCTAAGCATCATAGGCCAGCATGCCTTCGGGATGAAGGAATTACAAGGAATGGCCGTTCTATCGGTAGTATGGCTGGTCGAAAAAGATCTTCCAGCCGTACCGGCACTGAAATACCACCACCTAAGAAACGCACCTGCTCGAGTTCCCCGAGCAAAGATAGAGGGAACTGCGACGAACAGAATCGAGTACACCGTCGCGTGATTATCCATGATTACGGCAAACCACTTTATAAAGCTAGCTCTCTTGTTGCCATGCTCACTGCCTTCGACCGTTGCATGGTGGGCTATCATTCGCTGTATATTAAAACAGGGCTTCTACAGGGAGATATATCTACAGGTAACCTCATGATGAACGAAGACGATGATAATCCTTCTTGGCCTGCATTCCTCATCGATCTAGATCTTGCAGTTCAAGAGAGACGCGACCGGCCTTCAGGAGCATGGGGTAAAACGGGAACGAGAGCTTTCATGCCCATAGGGCAGTTACTAGGCGACAAGTTGTCCTGGGTACATGGACTAGAATCCTTTTTCTGGGTACTCTTCTGGATTTGTATCCACTACGAAGGTCCTAATGAGAAGAGCTTGGTTATCAGGGAATTCGACGAGTGGAATTATGTGAGCATGGAAGAGTTAGCCAAGCTCAAACTAGGAACTGTTTCGGACGATGACATTTTTGAAAGCACCATGGACAAGTTTACAGAATATCATAAACCACTGAAGCCATGTGTTGATGAGCTACGAAAGGCCGTATTTCCGAATGGCAAGATACGAAGGAAAGGAGATGAGAGCCTTCTCTCTCAGATGCGTGAAATAGTACAAAAGGCACAAGATGCTTTACAGGAAGCGTCTTTATAACATACAACTTCTGTCAGGGTTGAAGGCTTGTACTAATTAGTTTTCCAAAGGAAATACGGAAAAAGGGCTACTGAGAGCTTCATAGCCGGGTTGTAGATCAGTTTTGTCTGCCTGGCCTGCAGCAGTGGTAGCTTGAATGGCCACTGCACGAATTCCTCCGAATAACGGCTCACCTGGTCATAATGCTCTCTTGCAGGGGCCGAAGAGGAACGGAAACGGACTGAAGGGGAACTAAACGGGAAAAAGGGCGCAACTACCGACCATCCTTTGGATTCTATTCGAGTGGACCACAAATTGGTCCCAAGTTGGCTGTGCCCCTTCGGATACGACAAATCCTAGAGGCCCGATGTCGAAACACTGTCGGACTCTTGATTCAAGCCATGCAATGCCAGAATGAAAGCGAGGGTTCACTAAGGTCACACCATTGTAACCCTTGGACGGTCAACACGACATTGACAATCTGGACCACCACTGCCCGACCGTGGAGCTGCCCCCACAAGGCCAAGACATCAGCCGGCACGTCACCGATGTGAAACTTTGGTAGAGCTTATATTACAGCTGCTGGATGCACGCTGTTCGGGCTTATGGAGCTTCTAGGGCACTGTTTACGATCACGGCATACTAGCCAGCAATGAAAAAGCTCTGGGACGATGTCTAGAATTGATTTTAAGTTAGACCAGGGAGAGATGGTATTAGTAAATATATGAATCAATGAACTAGGTCCCCGGAAATGTTAGTAGTGAGTAATGAATAGACGAATATCAATATTTACCTTACTAGAATTGACAGTATATCTTGCACATAGCTCTCAAGCAAATATCTTTCCACAGCTCGACCATCTGGTACCGTCGAGCGGCCTTTTCAAGGCGAAGTTGAGCAAAACCCTCTCCCTTCCGTGAACAAGCTGCACAAAGGCAGGTCCATCTTATCTCCGATCATCATCTGACTAAGGGATGAGTCAGCATCCAGAGTTGGGCACCCACCCCGCCTTAGTGTCAATACAATTTGGTCTTGCCCCTCCAGTAGTTTTCACGCGAACAGTCTTTTACCCAGGAACCCCCGATCAGGATAACTGAGGTAAGCTACAAAAAGAGAGGTGAGTAGAATGAGTTCAATTTTCGGAATTAGGTGACTGAGCTTTTACACTATTAGTAGATGGCCCTGCTGTCAACAACCAGCTGATACTGACTGGATACTGGACGTTCTCGACGAGCTAGATAACGCGCAAATGGATGCCCTGGCATCTTTTCTCGAACGAGCAAGCTGGACAGAAGACGGCGAAAATCTGTATTTTTGCAATGACACAAACCTAGAACCCATGTTGATAAAGGCTGCAAATGATCTTCCAGACTATCTTCGTGGCTACGGATTTCAGGCTTGGAAGGTTCTGGGAAGAACGAGGATACAGGCAACGAATGGATACATCATTCCTATAACTATAATTTCCAGCCAACCCCGCCTGTTATCCGAAGTATCACAGCCGCTTCTGCTTCCGCGATCTCCGGTGCGCTTTGATAAGGAGCCTCTGATTACGCCAGCACTATACCTGATTCTCGCACTCCCTCCCGCATGATCATTGTTAATAAAATCAATTCAAGCGCTTGAAACGTCAAAATACTGGCTAGGCCGTGGGTGATGTACACCTTCCCCGGGTTGCAATACCTGCTGTTCTGTTTGCGACGAACATGAGGGCGGGTTGGTCAAGTTCTGGAATGGGAAGACCTGCGGGTAGTTCATAGGAAGTATTGTTGATGCTGGCTGATGAGGGAAGACCTGCGGGTGATTAGTTGGCGTCATTGTAGCTGCCATGGGCAACGGGAAGACTTGAGGGTAGTTTGTTGGCGTCATGGTTATAAAGGTCGGAGGGTCAGCCCCTGTCATATTGCAATTGTATTGAGACGTATTCGAGATTATTGGATCCATATCGTGTTCCCGTTGTCTGTTAATAGACGCCTGCTGCATAGAACAACGCATCCCTGTTAAAATGGGATCCCCATTTGGCGATAGACGGGCACCATAAGGCGCTGTGTTTTGCGCAATTCCCTGAGTCTCTACTCCTTGATGACTTGTGGGCATTGTAGCTTGATAATACCTTGAGGTTTGGTTCGCATTTGGCTGAGAATTTGTTTCAGACGGGAATGGCTGGTTCTCTTTAAACTCGTCAGTTACTTTATTCCCTACTAATATAAAGTATCCATACCGTAGACTCCACTCCTTTCCAATGTATGTGACGAATGCTGTGCTGCATTATGACCATTTGCGTATTCACTTCGCTGCATTCGAGGCGTACTTGAATGTTGTGCCTGTGAGAGTCCATGCTCTAGGACTATTTGTAATAAGCCTTGGAGGGGTGTAAAAATGCTGTCGATTTCCGCATTTGCGGAGGCATGCAAACCTCTATGCAGTGCTTCAACGTCGATACCTTCTCGCTTCAAACGCTCTAGCATTAAGATCCGGTTCGGTTTGTGTGCTGACTTTGGGACATCTTTCGTCCATCTATATGACGGTTAAAAGCTAGACACCAGCGAATGGGTAGAACCTACAAAGATTTACTGCCATAATCAGGGAGGATGTACAATACTCCCAAACCGCCGAGATCTTTCGCTAGTAACTCGTATCTCTCTCCGTGGCCGACCCACTCCCGAACCCTGTTGCGAACCACATCAAGTGAGTCACTACTCGAGCCGCTGTTCAGTATAACTTGTGCTATAAATTCGGCAGCGCTAAAATACTGGTATTGGCTTCCTGGCTCTACCCATTGCTTCAGTCGGTAAAACATGACATAAAGGAACCTGAGGCGGATCTTGTATAGATCATGCTGCCTCTCATGGTCAACTGTCAATTCATACCACCTGGCAAGAGAGTTACCAGGATTGCTTGTGGATGGACGTAGCGTCCCAAGGCTATCCTGGGGCCCGTGGGTATGTCCTGCGTCTTGTACCGGCTGTATCTCCGGGAACAAAGTTTCGCGCTTATCTACTAAGTCTTGCACGACTTGCGAGATATTAACTCGGCTGAGAGGACGTGCAACAGTTCTCTTGACGGCAGACTCGCGGGAGGGCCCACGTATGTCTTTGGGGATATGTCGGCAGACGCTTTTTACGGCTTTAATGATAGTCTAAAGGAGGCAGAAATTAGCGCACGAGTTGGAAACAGGGAGGAATGAATACCTTGTCTTTCCAGTCCCAGGAGGAACTATCCAGCCGAGTCTTACCCTCAATTTCCGCACGCTGACAGGCAACCAGTACATTTTGAGCCAGTTGTTTACTCTCGACGACACCCATAGAGTCGATGATATTATGGTGTTGTATGATAGAGCGCTTGGAAATGAGTGGGGTCACCGAAGAGTGGAGAGCTCGGCGGGCAATTAATATGGAAGGCGATGGAGCTAGCCAGTCGGTCGAATGATGTTCCGGTATTCCGGTAGTACGGCTGGCACCTAAACTTTGACAATAACAACATGGTTATTAATTCGCACCATGCTTAGTTAACTAGCTATAACTTATTTAACTATCCACGGATTTCTTCTTATCTGGCTAGTAATACTTATGTGGCGAATCACATAACTGGTGACCATCTTAGGTCCCTCTCAATGAAGAAAAATAAAAGAGAGAAAGAAAACATCCTATTCCTGCTACTTCTTCAGAATACATGCCCCAGAGTCGAAACTTAATCTTGTCAGAATCCTATGCGGATATTCTATTCAACACATGTTTTCTCTTTTGAGACCAGTATAGCCAATTCCTTGCCACAGTTCTCTCTTATGTCATGAATGATTTTGCGGGGGTGTACCTGGTGGGTTTGCGATTAAACACTCAAGAGAATTCGTAAATACTACTATTCTCAATTTAGCTATCTAAGCCACTGTCGAGTAGGGGCATGGTGGGATTGTACGTACTCATAATAACATTCCCATGTGCGATGAATCTTGCCTTCCTTGTAGTCTGCCGCCTAGTCATAGGTCAGTTAGCCTCTAAAAGCAATAATAAAGTCTTATTCATCCATACAAGAGCATCAACAAAATAGTCCACCAATTCATCTTCCTCTTCCAGCCATTGCCGTTGGCGAGTTGTGATTGAGTCATACGAGAAGGTTTGGGCACGATCGAAATCAATCCAGAGAACCCTGTCTGAGCTTTCCTGAACCATCATATTTCGTGGAAATGGGTCTCCGTGATAGATTCCAGCTCTATGTATCTCTGAGAGAATCTGACGGAGTTTGTGTACCCTTTCCATTGAGAAAGTAGATAGGTCGATCTGCTGAAGATTCGGTACGTATTCAAGCAAAACAGCGTTGGGAGGTAAACGATCTTTGAGAAACTCTTGTAAGTGTGGTGACCATTCCATGGGGTTGATTTGTTTTATCAGGCCATAGAAATCAGGGACATATCCTTCGTCGCATAGGCCATGGGCCTTCAGTCGAGTATAGGCTTTGCTTTCGCATCTAAAGATGTCGACTTCACGGTCTGCGGGGTCGGCGTGAGATGCTTCAATACTGTGGTACTAGGGACATATCAGATACTGGTGGAGGTTAGGAAGACTACCCGGTCGCGTACCACTTTCATAATACAGTCTCTACCGCGCCAACGTGTGCGGAAAATACATGACGACTCAGAGCTCCTAATCTGTCCAACGTACTCTATCGCCGATAAATTGATTTCCATGGTGTTCGCGATAATCGGACCACAATTTGAGTTACGCAAAGGCCATGAGACACAATAATCTTTTAAGGGATGCGCGAATATGATGTTGGACTCAAGCTGCGCTTGCACTATGCCTATTCTGGGAATGAACCCATGAAAAGCAAGTACAAACCACACTAAATGATTTTCGAATTATTATGAGGGGACCTAGGCACCGCTCGGACCATCAATGCCCAAACAACTATTTACAAATTATGTTATTTACATGATACCCGGTTTCGCAATATTACATTCATCAATACTATCCAATTATAGATGCAGTTATTCGTATCGCCCAGCACGGCTTTAGACAATGCGAGCAACACGGTCAATGAACAGACATCCCTCGAGGACAGAATATAAATTAAAGATACGGCCACTTTAACATGGACAGTTACGTACGAGACTCTTTTCTTCCTTACTTTTCTCAACACATCCCATTACGCAACATGGCGAATCAAGTCAGTCTTCTTGCTTATCTGCAACATGGCCCACCAAGAATACCGATCATTGAACAAGGGCAATCGACGGATAACACCACGAACACAAGATACTCCGCGGATGATATCACATATGTTGGGCATTGGGCAACTTTCAACTTGAACACGATTTTGCATCAGCATCAGGCTGTACTCACAAACAGTCGGCGAGAAGATGAGGCGATGCCCTTATCACCTCCGCAAGCGATCAACTCGGAGCCAGGTCTTCGGCAACGTTTTTCATTCTATATGAACCAAAGGGTCCGCAGAGCTCTCCGTAGTGGCTTTGACTTTTTGACAACGAACAACCAGTTGGCCAACCGTACTGTTGTGGATTTCGGAGAAGGAAACTTGGCGCAACTCATCGAGCAGTTCACACCTGATACCGCATACTACGATCCACTTCTCCCGGCCCCGACGAGACCGAACCGAGTTCCAGGAGATCTGAAGCCCTCTTTTAAATGGTCTCTCGCTCTGCGGAACAGCCCAACTCCATATGGAAGAAAGCAGTTCAAACAAGCCCTGGCCCAAGTCAACTATTATATGAAGCAGCATGAGACTCATTTTGGATTTATCCTCACTGATCGTGAGCTTGTCGCAATTCGACGCCTCGATCGTAACGGAAGGTTGGAGTTATCTGATTCCGTTTCATGGATTACCAAAGGAAGTGAATGCCAGCCGCGCCTTACGGTATTGCTCGCCTTGTGGTACTTGGGGATGCTTGCGTCGGATAACCTACAATGGCATTTACCTTAGAATCCAACAGCAGATTGACTTAGCCAGAATTTCCGAGATGATTCGATCAACTTCCGCCAATTCTCCTTTACTTTTCCACGCGCTTCCCTTTGCTTTGTGTTTCTTTGGAAATTATCATCAGAGACTAGCTGCTTCAACATCAGTATAGGGGCGGGTGCTTGAACTATCAACTGGTCAAGCTGTGTCTTAAGTGCTGTGTGTATATTTTTATTTTAGGAACTTAATATCATTCGTGATAAATACTATAAAATTACTTCTTGGTATTTCATACGGATGAAAGGATTGAGAAACGAAAATTACATGCGATCAGTATTTGGAGAAAAGGTATGTGCGGTATTATATTCAAAAACCTCTTTCGGGCCGTGTCTGGACATCTAAGGTACCCTGAAAATGTAGAGCCAATGCTAACAAACTGGTTACAAAACCTATCCTCCAATAGTTGTTCATACCGGGCAGTTGAATGAAAGAACGCAGTGCCTGTCACAGTGGGCCTGCATGGGATCCATGCAGTGGCTCTGGCATATGGTCATCTTGCTGACGTTGTAGCCCAAGATTCCGCTAGGTGGGGGCAGCTAAACCCATTTCTGAATAGGTTTTCTGGACAGAAAACCTATTCAGAAATGGGTTTAATTCGCCCCCACCCACTTACTTTACCAACAATTTCTGGGTTCATATCGAACATTCGCAAGCCAACCGACTTAGGCAGGTAGGATTGGTTATCAAGAAGTTTGGGCTTGCTTTGCGGCTCTGACCTGCATTATGCTGCAAAAAGATGTGGCATTTTAGATCTGACATATAACCATTTCGGTATGTAGTGACGAGCTGGCATACCGATTAAGTCATCTATAATCAATAACCAAACTAGACAACTGAAAACTGACCTATAAACTTCCTGCAGTGATGGCGTTTAAACAGAAGCACCGTTCGAAGCAATTACGACTCAGCTCAATAATTACACACTAGCTAGTATTTTACGTCCTATAGTTTTTAGTCTATACCGACAACCGGCTATATGACTAGTCTAAGCTGTGTGTTGTTATCTGCATGATGGGCGTACTTAACCGTACTATGTTGCCTCGTCAGTGCACAGTTTGGTTTTCTATGCGTCCCAGTCTTTCTAAACTCCTTTATTACCGTCTATAGCTATGCATCCCCTTCTTGCCTCTATATTGCCTTATTTCGGTTGTCTCGGCTGGCAACGGAAAGCCACCAACGCAGCTTCTCAAGGTCTGTAGGTACATCGCTGGTATGAAGGTAGCATACTCACTGGTTGATAGATCCATTGTGCTCTATCCTACATGACGGAAAATACCGAATAAATGGATGCCCCGGGTTTCGAAGGCATTACATAAAACGGCAAGTTGGTGACAGCTATAAAATTGTGCGCCAAGTGAGCATGTGCGATTTCAATGAAGGAGGACAAACATTTACTACCTTTTGGACTGAGACGTTCAACATAGAAGAAAGAAAGCTGCGCAAGTCCGAGCGTGGCCGAGAGTTACTGGAAGATTATGATATTTGCAAGCGACCCAATCGTTGATCTTCTTTTCTTTCTTTTCCCTGCATCTTTCTATCCTATGAGCTTCCTATGGCCACACTTAACGCGGCGGCAGATGTATATATTCCGAGCATTGATTACCCTATGTTACTTTCATCATCTCTTGATTGTTATTTCCTGTCCCATCGCAACATGTGCTTTATACAAATTGCCATTCACAAGCCATGCGGCAAGAAGTACGAAGGCCTGATTCCTTGTGGCCCAGTTTTCTGTACGCCTGATAAATACAACGCAACACGAACCCAACATCTTGCTTCCCCATGCAGGGAGTGTGATCTTTGCATTACTAAAGAGGAATGCCATTACAAATGAGGTTGGTTTTACGACCCATAATTAAATAGGCACATGATTCTAATGTATAAAGGTCAATGCGAAAATACCGTTGTTCATACAAAAGAGATAGTCGAGCGATTGAAGGAATAACAGAGATTCAGGAGTTTGTGTAGTAAAAGGTAGTAAGCAAATCAGAGACTCGGCTTTTCTATGGCTGTTGTGTGATATCCACAAGCATATTCTGTAGTTAGGGTGCACTGGATCATATCGACTAGGTGTGTGGTGGAAGCCGTGGCAGAGCTCACGGATTTACTCATAGAATCCGGCTATCGGGCGATGAGCATGGCTGCGATAAATTTTACTCTATGTAAGCACTATAACCTCTTGCATATATCTTGTTCTATACCTCTGTACTTGCTTTCTGTGTTACATTTTGGAACAAAAGTCATTATGGAAGTATCAAGACTCGAACGTGTTACCCTCGATACCAACCTCTCTCCTTTCCACATCGCAAGGCACCCCGGATACAAGTTCTTACTCGAGGGACTAATCTGTTCCTTGCGGGTCAACGTCATTATCCTCGACAAATATGCACCAGCCTGTTCCATGCTTCTTCTCCAGTGTTCTGCTCGCGACGGCCACTCCGGATGCTGGAAACTGCCTGGCGGCAAGGTCGACTACAACGACAAAACTTTACGTGAAGCTGCTAAACGGGAGGTTGAGAAAACGACTGGTATAACTCGATTCGAGTTCCTTGATACTGTCCCAACCAAGACAAGGGACAGCTCAAAGAATGAGGGAGTACATCAATGGCTTGGTTTCACATTTCTTGCGACCGTTGATGGGCAGTCTGGCTGGCTGGAAAGTATACGTTCAGCGGAAGAAGAGCACCGAGTTTTGAAGTGGGTCACGAAGAGCGATGTGTTGAGGATGGAGAAGACTGTATTCTATGACAATCACCTGGAGACTATCCTCGGGACATTTGATATTGTGGAGAATGTAATTAACCTAAGTCGGCGTGAGCCATCTACTGCCACCCACCACGGCCTTGGCTCGCTGAATGGAACGTCGACCTACACAGACTAGGATTACAGCCTAGGGGGGATAATTGGTATTGGTAGTCTCAAGAAAAGAAGATTTACCCACCCACCTTGTCTTCGATACAAGCGAGTTGAGGCTCCACTTTCAACAATGGAAAGACGATGCGCATCCCTCCGAAAAGACTACGCAAATGACAAAGGCCAACCTCTATTTATGTGGGTTTTGGATGTAAGTATCGCATCATAGGGAATGAAGTTTGTTCCTGGTGCTAACATATTATAGTGTGGATGTGATTCACCGTAACAGAGAACTAAAGTATATCGATGCATGGCCGAGGGAAGGGTTCAAATGGAAACCTAGGTAAGGACGTTGCTAAAATCCGAAGGGAATACGGGAAATGTGCATGGTTGAATACGGAAGGATTAGTGACACCAAGGCAAGCAAGACAAGCCATCAATAAATTGCTGATCTAATCCATTTATCATCCTTTATGATCCAGCTTAGTCTAAATAATCAATCGCTGCGTCTTTAGCTAATTAATCGACTATAACAAACCTGGCTAGACAGGATGCCTCCACTCCTAGCAACATTTCACGAGGCCGACCACTCAGAATAACTGATACAGCTTTCTACAACTTTTTTTCCTAATTCCGTCAAAGACGGTGTAAAACCTAGTGTATCATGGCTGTGAGGTCTAGACCACTGCGAGCGCACTATACACCGGCCCACTTTTCACAGTCTCTAATGTGTTATTTGAACCTTGAGCGAAATAGTGGCTTAGAAGCGGCCCTAACTAACCGATGTAACCATATTGAGAGGTACATATAGAGCATTTGCCTTGTCTGTAGTGTAAGTGAAAAACTTATCGTTCATCGGTACGCAACCACATCTTATAGCACCTTTCTCTGCTATATTCCTGCAATGTCCCAGTGGCAAAACCTTCCTCAAGGTGTGGTGAGTGATCCACAGACCTACCTTTTCGCAGAATGGAAAAGCTAATGATGTTCTCCGGGTGTCTAGAATAGTGATGCTCGTCACAGCGCTGTGGTTGTAGCCTCAAACGACACTTCAAACGACACCATGAACGACCGCGCGGACAATACAAGCGATGACGTTACTTTGGTACATCACAAACATGGAGCTGAAGAGGGTGGGAAACATAAACGAAATAGTTGCATCATCAATGGCAATGTCGGGGTTCAGAAAAGTTCCATACATATTATGAGCGGTGGCCGTGTGGAAGGTGGATCAGTCATTGTCAACGGAGATATGTCTAGGGAAGCGTTTATGGAGTTGTTCAAACCTAAATGAACTTCTCTTCATATTGGTCTTTTTATATCACTGTCGGAGATAAAGAGGGAATTCAAAGATGAACAGCTTTCAGTGAAGACTTTCAATTATAAGAGCGGTATCATTCTATTGCCTTTGAATCTATGTTCCACTAATTAAGAGGCTATTGTATGTCCCTATGACCTCGTAAGAGAGCTCATGAAGCGATAGTATTTTACTACATCATAACATGAGCCAATTCAGGCAAGGCCTTGTATTCCTATGTTTATTACTCCCATCCGCAAGTCAGAAAGTGCTCTGCCCTTCGTATCGTTGGTTGTTATCAAAATGCACGTCAAAAGTATCGATGCGGTCTCAGGATTTGTATGCCAATTACTTTCCATTTTAGAATCCCAAAGAAGATTCCTACTCTATAGTGCCTGTACAATATGTTGGACACAGAGTGAGATATATAAACACCGGCGAACGTAGGCTTTCTCCATACTTTCAATTCTCTCGTTGAGTGCTCAAGTTGTCACGTGCGTCACAATACTATCTATTCCCCGCATCCATGATGGAGCCACTCCTCGGTGACTTACTCGGGCGAACCGACGACGCCGACTACCTCGTAACCCTGCACAAGATGGAGTTACCTGGGTATACTTTCT